CATTGCATCCATAACATTTCCATGCATTTGATCAAAATCTATCCATATACGATAACCAAATTTAATTAATTCATCATAAATTTGTTTACAAATTATTTTATCTTTATGTGAATAACTAATCATAATATCAAATCTTTTTCCATTTTTAATTTCTAATGTTGAACGATTTTCATGATTTATTTCAAGATTCCATAGAATTCCATGAATCATTTTAGACATTTGTTTATTATCACATTCTTTTGATAGTTGAGTTAATTTAGACATGAATGATGAATTAGAACGAAGTTGTTGTTGAATATCTTGATTAAATGAAAATGCCCATATAATATCATATACAATTGGATATTCATCACACATTTCAATAAAAAATGATAATTTATGTCCATCAGAAACTTTTTGTTGAATAGTATTGCTTTTAGATAAAGATGAAAAACCTAGAAAAGAAAAAAGAAAAAAAATTTTATGAAATAAATATTTACTAAAAATTTACTTCGTAATAAATAAATAATTGGCATTTGTTTATATTTTTTCAATGGATGATGCCATCCTTGTTCAAGTATATTAAATAGAAAATTACAAATATTATTGGTAATTTTTAATTCTTTTAATTTTTCATCAGTTAAAATTTCACTTAAAATAGCATATGCACATAAAGAAAGTTTGTCACAAGATGAATTTTCAACAATAGTCAAAAGTATATCAGGTAATAATATATGTGAACGAAAAACATAAATCATATTTTGTGTTTGTAATATAAATAATAGAAATTTTAAAATAATATCAATTAAAATTAATCGTTCATTTTTAATTTCTTTATAAATTGGTTTATAACTAATTATACGTATAAGTCCTTGTACAAGATCATAAGATATTTGTTCAGTTGAAAAAAGTATTTTTGCATGTGTTAATTTTTCTCCACCCCACCAACAACATCCACCAATAAAACCAGTAAGATAAGTAATACAAATAAGGAATTCTTTACTCCATAATTCCATTGTATGACTATGAATATTAATTATTTGTAAATATTTATTACCAACATGATGTAATATTTCTTCAGCAGTAAAAAGAAAATTTTGAGCTTTAGCAGTTAAATATGAACTTAAAGAAAATGAACATGTTTTTATATAGAATAATTGTTTAGTAGTGAATATAGATTGTGGTAAGTTTGATTGTTGAAGTTGAGTTAAATAAAATTTGAATTGATCAGTCATAACATAGTTGCGTCCGATATATTGATTGATATGACAAATAATCGGTGATGTGTCAAATTGAGGATTTTCATGAATGAAAAATGCTAAATTATTCAACCAAAAACTAATTATAGCAATAAATGGATCATTATCATTATTGCTTTGATTGATTTGTTCAAATATACTATTGATTTGATCTACTGTACAAGAAATAAGAAGTAATGCTTTTGTTTCAACTTCAATATTATCAAAATTTAAAATTAGATTTTTATTAAACGATGAAAATGTATGAAATAAAGTTAAATAATTTGGTTGATTGATCCATTGATAAGAATCATAGCTGAGTTGTTTCCATGCCCAATGTTCTAGAACAAGTAATGATTGTATAAATTGAGAAACAAATAACGAATCGGATTCGAAAGTTTGCTGTTCGATCAGGAATGTAAGTTTTGAAAGAACATCAATTGATAAAGGAGTTATGAAAAGTTCATTAACAAGTTGTTCAAAATTATCTTCCATTATTTTTCTAAATATCTTTGTTTAACTTATGGATTTGTGTAAGATAATATAGTCTCAGTAATCGCTTTATTATTTGAATAGAATTCTCACAATTACATTCACCAGATATATTGATATACTATACTTTTATTTGCTCTTAGATTTCACCTACAGTTAACATCAGATTGAATATTATTGACGTATATTTTTTTATGATTCATTTATTGAAAAATATTTATTACTGTAATCTTTCTTTCTTTTTTAATCTATTCGTAAGAAAAAAAAAAGGAGAAATAATGTCAATATTGAAATAGTTCCATAATTTATGTATTACTAAATAATAACTGTCAAATAAAAAGAACAATATACTCGAGAGATATTCAACGCTTATTCTAACATTCGTTGCTCGTATTTAGTGATTATGTTCTTTCGTGATACTGCTATGCTTTGCAATTCATGGGACATTGATCTTGAACAAATCTCATATTCGATTTGTTTTGTAGGAAAGAATATTAATTCCATTTGTATTCTCATTTGTCGATTTTATCAAAAATGTTCATGCACTGAGATGCTACCGAGGTTTATTAATAGCATATACTACATTTTAATTGTATCAAAGACGAATCATAGTTCTCATAGATCAGCTAGTTGCCTCTCCTCAGCCTAATCTCTTTCATTTGATAATAAAATTTAAAATGGGATTTACAGAAAACTTTCAAAAAATAAACCGTGGAAGTTGCTGAATACAAATAAGATGCACAATATGAATCAATAATTATTTATTTCATGATACTGCGGTATGTTTATAAACCTGAATTATCTGTAGATAATCATTTCATCAATTGAACTCTCATATCAATTGTGATATATATATATATGAGTGATTTTATCATCAATTATAGACAGGAGTGTCATGAGGATTGGGGTGAGTTTAGCATTCTTCTTTTGAGAATTAATGAGTAAAAAAACCAATAATGGAAAAAAACGAAAATTTTTCAAGATTGAGAGATCGTCTCCTCCACTCAGGACACCTCTGATTATAAAGAAACGGAAAGATGATTTTTCTGTTAGCGTTAATAGTGTTATAATTATAAATCAATATCTTTTTTGAATGATGCAACAATTCTTAATAGTTTTGTTGACCAGAATTTTGACTAAAAAACTCTCCATATTCAATGGTTGAGAGTAAATCTTCAACTGAATAATTGAAAAATAATATGGCAGTAATAGTTCGCTAGTTTATTATTCGAAAATAACATTTATCTAACGAAGAATTTTATTGGATACAAAAGATGTTAAAAGTATTGGAATAAGTTCATTAAAGTTGTCTTCAATTACTTTTTGTCTAATATGTTATATGGCAGGCATTTGTATTTTATCGTAAAACTCAATTAACTACTTTTTTGATTACTTCAATACTCGAGAATATACTGTGATCTTTATCTTTTATACAGCAATTCATTTCTGGTTATAACCTATTGAATAGCATTTATGCAAATTTTTGCTTTGTAAAAAAAACCAATGGTCGCTAGTTCGTTATATTACTCTTCTTCAAGATCCATAATAGTAAAAAAAGGTAATATCAAGATACAATCATACATTTTTTTTAATTATTTATTCATTGTCAGAGACTGGTTAATATATGTCGATGAGCTCAGTGAACAGATTTTTGAGAATTAATATCATTGAAAATACAGATACTTGATGTAAAATACTGTCCTTCAATAAATTTTTTACCATAGAATCTGATTTAGATAATTAATTTTTGAAAATAAGAAATTTGTATAAACTGTTATTTTCAAGAGTGAACATCATTATGATAGAATCAATTTTATCTCGATAATATTCAAGATGTAAAAAATAAAAATCGTAGATATAACTTTAAATAGTGTCTATTTATACATTTGGAACTCACGTATATTTTCCAAGAAAAGAGTGAGTGTAAGTTTTTAGTCGAACTTTTGTGACTCCCCATTCCAGACCTTAGCAACCGAGATTAAAGGCGTTGAACGATATTAGTAACAAGACTTAGAAGATTCAAGAACATTTCTTGGAATTCAAATGGTTGGAATACGTTTTTCAAGTTTTAGTTTGTCACAACTATCATATGACCAATACAAAAGTATGAACTGATCAAATTCTAACTTTTTGGAATAATTAATGTTCATATTTCTGAGTTCATCGAGATACATAATAAATCGTTAAGATCTACTGTAGATATAACGGATATGTACAACAGGCTTATTTATTCATTAAATCAATGGTTAGATTAGTAATAATAAATTATGAAAAGAAAATAGAAACCAAACAAATAGCAATAAGATAAATGGAAAAAAAAAAGATATAATATTCGCGGACAATCGATTATCATTGGAAAAGAACTATCATTTTCCAAAGATTTTACACCTTACGCATTTTGTATTAGTATATAATGAGACCAAAGAAGACATATGAATACAATATTTTAGCCCCCAAAAGGGCTGTGCTAACAAGATTCTTTTTACTATCTCAATGAGAAAAGTGATTTAGTTCTATGAAGCATATTATCTACATAATACAATTATTGAATAATGTAACTAAGAATCGTTTTTGTCATTGTTCGTATTCTTCCTTGTTTGTTGGCTAAAAATAGTTAATTGCAAGAGTCGTTTTTGTTTATCCAATAATGAATGAAAATATGATAATTCTACTAATGATAAACATTGATTTGTTCGTCGAATTGAATCTTCTTGAAGCATGTTTAAAACTTGTTCCGGTCGACCATATTTTATATATCTGTGTAGATAAATTAAACTTCGACCATCATAATTCATAAGAAGACGAGACATTTGAACAAGATTATGTTCTAATAACCAATCTTGTACTTGTGTTTGTGTCCATTCAAGAATATTCTGAGAAAATATTGGTGATGCTGATCTCTTTGGTATAGATACAGATACAGTAGGCAATATAACAGCAGTATCTTTTTTAGGTTGAATAGGCACAACATTAGTCTCACAAATATCTTCAGCTTTAAGTTCTTTAAATAACTTTTCCATTACTCGATGAAATTCATATTTATTAAAATTAACATAGAGTAATTGACCAATGAAAAACAATAACCATCCATCAGGTTTGTAATGTTTTTGTAAAAGAATTGGAATTGGGTTATTCTTTCGAGAGTGTACCAGAATTTACATCGACTTCATGTGAATCGAATGAAACTTTCAGAGTTTGTAGAACTTGTACCTTTAAGCATAGCTATAAGTTCAAAAAATTTTTAAAATCTTGCGAAGTGATCCGAAGGGGAGGACCAATTTGGGGTCTCCCAGCAAAACAGGATCTTATCTAGTTCCTCTATTGTAAATGATAGAAGTCTGAAAATTTCACCATATATACAACTTGTTGAGGTGATCATTTTTTGTACGGGACACTTTTTTCCCCCGTGTTCTGTGTTTTGGGAAAAGGCTATAAAAAATG